TCTTATGTTTGTCTTAGATGACTAAGGGGTGTTTGGGAAGTTCAGCAGTATTTTAATGAAAATGGAATGTTGAATAACTCAGCTCTAGATTTGCTAAAAAAACCTTAAAAAACTGCTCTGCAATGTTACTCTTCTTTGTGCTGTACAGTAACTGTAGAGATCAGTTACACAAACATTATAGTCTTACACCATAAGAGAGAAGTAATATTTGTCTACTGTTCATGTTTCCTTGGTAACAAATTCAGTAGCTTGGTTAATAAAAGAAATGGTAAATTTAATAACACTGTAACCAGAAAGGGCTTTCTACAAAGCATTTTAAAGGTTCAGTTTCTTGCAAAAGAGAAAGAACCCAGGGCTGTAAATGGATCATTTTGATTGCCACTTTCCCCTGACCTAGTCCTACTGTTGCTGGGCTACTGCACAGACACAGGCTGAGGCAATCATGCATTTCAGGGAGCTGTATGGCATTCATTGAGGTGTCACTGCTTTCTCCTCAAAATCTCCTTCTTTGATGTATCACCAGCAATTTTTTGATACTGCTGGATTGCAGACTCCCAACTATCTACCATAGAAAAGTATTGTATTATTAAATCATACCAAAGAATGATTTACTCTTTAGAGTAGATAGGTAATTTGACTACTAGGGAAGTTTAAAAACAAAAAATGAGCTATCTATGTGAAAATAACACCAAACTTCCCGTGCTTGCCTAGCTACTCACTAAGTATGTATGCATGCAGTATCACCTCTTTCCTGAGTGCTTTTCAGGATTTGCTAGTTTTTGTTTGTTTCTTTGTTTTCAGCATGATCTACATCTCACATCATCTAGATCATATTTAATTTTCCACAGTGACATAAAATTCAAGGTAGGCAGAGACATAAAGACCTTATGAATTAAACCAAGATAAAATAATATCCTTATTTTATAACTCATAGTTAAAAGTATAGTATTTTCACCAAGATGCAAAAGCATGCATAAAGGAACTGAACAGCTAAAAGAAATATAAAGAAACAATGTACACTTTGAAACTGGATTTTTAACAAAAGAATGAGGAAACACGAGGTTGGATTTTTTTTCCAAATTTTCTCATTTTCATAAAACTAGGCATTTCACCTGCCATTTGCTCCTTGAAAAATCCCCACACAGTGGTTGGAAAAAGATGAGTAAGGAAGGTGACTAATACACTCAAGAGACTTATTTTGAATTCTGTCTCATTAGAATTGCTAGCATAAACAACAACTGGTAAATTATATGAGAAATTAGAAGGGGTGAATTGAATGTTGGAAAGAAACTATTAAAAGCATTCAGTGTCAAACCAAGATTACATTTACAGGAAATGAGAATCACAACAAAGATGACATAGGCAAGAATTAAAGAGAATAATTAAAGAGAGGAATACTTCAGGTGTGCTTTTCTTTGGAATTGCATCTGAGATTACACTGAGAATAAAGAGGCCATGAAAAGAGGTCACTGCTTGCCTAACACTAATTTTGGCTACAAATAAATCAGTTCCTATGCATATATCTCTCTAAGTTTGAGGCTTCCAGACCAGCAGCTTTTACAAAATTGTTAAGCCCTCATTAAATGCTTTCACTTTTTAGGGGGTTATAAAGGAATAGGTATTACAGTGTTTAGCTAATCAAACAATTCTCTGAGTAAGGAAACTTAGGAAACTTTTTTCCATCTGGTTCTCTGCATCATCCCAACAAGATGCAAGGTCTGCCTTTTTGCAATGGAAGCATTCAACAGCAGCTTGCTATCATGTTAGTTCTACAGGGGCTAATGACATAAAGGGCTAAAAATAATTTTTTAGGGCTAAATAATTTCCTGTCAAATAAATTTTCAAAGTTCTAATTTCTATAACAGGAAGCAAAACTGCACTAGTCTCTGCTGTAGACAGCTTACTGCAAGCTGTGGCTCAAGCTGTGATCAAAAAAGCAGAACAGTTGGAATGTAGTGAATGGAATGAAAACGATATGGACTCCTCTCTTATGTCTTCTACATATCTCAGTCATGTGTACTTTAACTGAACAACTCCTGCTTCACTATTCACATTCCCAGATCACTGACAAATGAACTAAAAAGTATAGAGCATCCTAAATCAGAAAGAATAATGCATATTAAAAAGTAGTCAGCAAATACCATTGAAAACTAACTGTAGATTTAGAAAATATACAAATAACATCTGATGCAGAAACAGGATAAAGTAAAATGCAATAATGGTATGTAATGACAGCTAGTGATACAGAGAGACATAAGAGAATAAAAACCTGTCTTTTTTTGTTTCACAGCATATGCCAAGTGTAATTCAATGAAGAAAAAAGGTCATCGGTTTAAAGAAATGCAAAATCTTTTCTATCTGACAATTAATACTCCAGGTAGTGTTACGGGAGATTCAAAAGTGGGGCATTTATATAAATATCAAAAATATAAATAATGATACTTTAAATTAGTGCTTTCAAATGTTACTGCACTTCAGAGTTGTTAGAGAGAAAAATAAGATCAAATGTGAAGGACGAGTATTATCACATCGGCCCACCTCTGTCGTGAAACAGTGTGGGACTTTGAGACAGATTCAAACCAGCGTTTTCCATCAACCTTGGCATAGTTATAGATGTTTCTTGAATTTATTTAGTTACGAGTCCTGTAGTAAGTAGGAACATGAATGAAAACATTGACTGGGTTTATTTTACAAACATAGTTAGCCATCTTGGTGACTCTATGACTTACGACTCTCTATTTTTTATTCTGTTTCTACAGAGTATTATTCAAGTTAAGTTGAGAACAGCATTTTAGAAATTAAATGTAATTTCAAGTGGCATTGTTTCAACACAGAGAATGGATTAAACAACACTGACAAATTTAAGCAGAAATAATAGCATCTTACAATAATATCAAAGAGAAAAATAAAAAATAATTACTTGACCAAGTGCTTAATAAGGATGTCCAGCATCTCTCTGTTCTTCTCTGGTAACTTATGCACAAGTGCATGCACTGCCTCAACTCTGTAGTTCTGATCATCTGACTCTATTAAATAGAAAACAAATTGTTAATAACTCAGAACATGTGCTAAGAAGTGACTACAAATGGCATCAATGCCTGTATGCTAACATAAACATGCAATAAGAGGAGCCAAACACAATTAGCCTTCAAAATGATGAGGACAATTTGATTACATTTATTACATTCTGAAATCTGTATTTAAACTAATTCATCTAAAGCAATTACCACAAATACTGGAATCAATAAAATTAATGGCAATATAGACCCTATGTGCCACTTCAGTGAAATCTAAGCTTTTGCTCCTTGATTTTTAAAATATCTAAAGTTCTTCAGTGTCTTTTATTCTTATCAAGACAAGAGGAAATGGGGAAATAACTTCAAATTCTAAACTGAAGTCATTAGAAAAACAGTATCTCCTATCACTTGATCTAATTACTCCATTTGTTGAAAGGAGATAATTATCGCCCCATCTAATTTTTCAAGGCAAGCTGGGAAAAAAAAGGTCCCTGGATGAGAGGGATCAATGTTATAAAAGAATTATCAGCGTATATGAAACAAACAAACATCTAAATCAAGGTTCAAAATTTCATGCAGAAGGCAGTCACACAGAACCACTAAAAAGATCAGAACAAACCACTGAACAGCTTCATCTAGTGTGACTTCTCTGCTTTGAGGGCTGGATCACTGAATAATAGAGCAAGGAGAAAAGTAGAGATAGTGACTGGGGAGATCGAAGTTTAGAAACAATATTACTTTCACAAAAGTGTATTTATCACTTTACTTACTAACAGCAACAATGAAATCTTTGTGCAGCTTGAAAGTCATCAGTGGTTCTGAAAGACATCTGGTTGTAAAAAAACATATTAAAAGGTTATTTAAAACAGACTCAAAGTCTTTTTAAGTTTTATGATTGTGATTATGATAGCCCTCAACATCTGCACAATGTCCTATTGGTCCTAGGAAACCCAATTCAATGATGACTGATTACAAGTAACATATAACTTGGTCATGGACATAGTCTCAAAATCAATGAGTTGAATCTTATGTCACCACGTAAATTACTGAAATGTTACTGGCACTGACTTCAGCACAGAGGTTCACTGTTTCCTGTCTTAAATATAGGTGCAGACATGGTATAGTGGGCTGCAGAATCAATCTTTTGTCCAAGAAAGGTAAAAACGTGATGAAATTTGGGACTGAAATTCTGATCTGAGAGATCCTAAAAGAGTCAGCCTCTGAAAGGCAGACTGTGAGTTGCCTTACAGAGACAAGCACACAGCTACTGCTTGCTGCCTCATGTTCTAATTTCACAAACACAGTATCTATGATGATTTGTGTGTCTGAAGATGTATAATAAGTTTCTTCAACCAAAAGCACTCTTCTCAATGAAATGTACATGAGCATTCCACTATAAATCCTAGGCATATTTTCCACAGTTAATAGAGATTTTTGATGCTGACTTTTGTTAGGTTATTGGTTTAGGAAGTCTAGATTTTTAGAAGGCATAGAACACCCACCATTTAGATTGGATACTTTTCATTATGGTTTTTTTAACATTATATATTGAGAACTGAAAGAGTTATCTCAGAAGTACCATATTTTCTGAATATTCTGTTTCTTATCAGCAAAAATGAAAGTGTTGGAGGGATATTTTGTTTATGAACAACAGCATAAGATAAAAACCTGTGTTTTGCTGGGATTTTTATTCTGTTCCAACAATGATGTCATGAAATCTTGTGGGATTCAGAAACAAAAGACTGAGCACAACATGCTTTGTGGTTAACATAAAAAAATTTAAATAAAAACATGCAATGAATTAAATTCTGTCAAATTTAGGGCTATATAAGCCAGAACTATCTTAATAAGGTAGAAAGTGTGTATTATTACACATAATCACAGAGATATTAGGCAGGATAATAATATACTCAATTATCACCATGCTAATGGGTACAAGAAATGTAATATGATAATAATAAGCAAAAGACTAATGGGCCAGAAAAGGAATACTGAGACTATGTAGGATCATACTTACCTGAGGTAGTTTTTTAGTCCGCTTGTTATTGTTTTATTGTCCCAAAGTTCCATATCAATATCCATATCAGGAGGAGATTTAGGGGCTGGTAGAAATTTGAATTATGATTGTGTTATAGTTTGACTAACGCAATAACTAGAAAAGTAGCAAAACAGAAGCTACTAAATTAGCCATTTAGCTCTAGCAATTACTTATTAGCCAGACTAACTACCAATCTTATCAGTTTGAATCTTTTAATCTCTGGCAAAGTATTAATAAAAATAAATTTAGCAGTCATATTTAGTAACTGCAAGTATTAGCTTTATGCACTGTGTCAAAGTGAAAGGCAAGCCCAAGTGCACATAGAATTACTAACGTGTTTGCCTTAGACATGCAAACAGAGGCATAGGAGTGCCAAATTAGCAGGAAAAGTGAAAGACTGGAACAACAGTCCATGCTAAGTCATGATGCTAAGTCATTAAGCTAAGTCATGATGTATTATGGAACTCAGCTTTGGAGAACTTCTGAAACATGCCAAATATATATGAACAAATATATATGAACAAATAGAACTTTAAAGATAAAAGAAGAAATGCATTTTTATTTGTAATTTGCTCATGTATAAAATGTAGAAGTGAATACTTCTGCTCACAAGAAACTAGTTAGAGATGAAGCACTCATTTTAAGACTGCAAATTAATTTAGTGGCGGTAAGAGCGCATATAAAATTGTAAATATCATGACACACTCTTCTGAGCACAGCACTTAAGGCAAAAGGACCACAGTGCACACACTGCACACTGACAAAGGTTCACTTCAGATACTTACAAAATACGGTGTTCATCAGCTTCTGCACCTTGGAATTTACACCACCTATTCTGTACAATCCCAGGATTGTAATACCTATGTTGGGAAAACAAGTAAATGAAAATAATGAAAATATGGTTATTTCAATATACACTGATGTATCCTTGGTGTATGTTTTCAGAATATCGAAATGCGTTTATGGAAAACTGTACCATTACATTCTTGAGTACTGTGTTGTTGAGTACTGAATTCTCTTCTGGGATAATAACAAATGCATTCCACTGAATCCACACCACATAATACACTAAGCATAATTTTACATTAACAGAACCCTTCTGCATGGAAATGACACATATTAGCAAACAACAAGGTAATGGCTAGGAAAAGTGAAAAATAAGACCCAAAAGCAGTCTGAAAACACATTACACATCAACAAGTTTGTATCACCTAGAAGTCAATGGAATTACTGAGCATCTATGTTTGCTTAAACCACCATCCCTTCCAGTTAAGATCTGAATGACATTTATAAGAAATGATTGTACATACTGTAATATGAAAATAAAAATATATACTGTATACTGTTGCAACACATCAGTTGAAAATTTATATGTTACCTATAAGTTAAAATCGTTATGCTTTTTCTTAATAGCACAGATAATAATAAAAAATGTTTCAAGAGTGACATTTGCAACACAGTAATCTAAATATTTAAATGATGATAATTTTATTGTTTTTAACTGCCTTTTAAAATCAGCAGGATTTAAATGTCTTCCATTCTCCTCACTTCAAGCCTTACCATTTAAAAATTGTCTAATTTTCCTTTGAAAACAACATTCTAAAATCTGACCTCACTTAGATAACCTAGGTGTTTGGTTTTAAAACTTTTTTTTTATGCCTCATTCCCCCAGAAAAAAATGCAAGCTCTGAGTCAGCAGTGATTTAAAAGCTACATAACAGTGTTGACTGAGAAGCTGAATTCATGTTGAGATCAAGATTGCACAGAGACCACATCTGGATTACTAAGAGATCTACACATTGAAAGTTCAAAAAAAAGGTTATCTTATTTTATGGGAGATGATATAGCCACACCTCTCCATTTGGAAGGGGTAAAACTTATTGTGAGTTGTAAAATATCACCTCATTAGCAGAGTGATTATTACTTCCTTATTGTATATTATCACTACCAAAAATGAGTTGTAAACATTTAAAAACAAAATAACAAACCGTGTGCAAAATTATAGGAGTTATGCTCCGAAAAAAAACAGATTTACCAGCAGAAAGTACTGATGTCCCTTTTCAGTCTTCAGGTTTCATGCCTGAAACCAAAGTTGGGAGCTGAGACTCCCTACAGTTTTTATCATAAGAAAACACAATTCAGTGCACACACATTAAAGACTAAGGATGTGAGCAAATGTGTATAAAGCTGTCTAATCAACAAGGAATTACAGAAAATGTTTAAAAAACCCACTTAAATGGTATGTTAAGAACTGTTGTTGGAACTTGTGGCAACAATTTTGAGTTGTAAACTGGAAGTGTAAACCACACAGATAAAATGTGGAAATTCCAAACCAAATGATGGACATATTCCAAAGCACAGCTGTAAAACATGTAGAATTAATCAAAGTAATATTTCAGAAAAAGAAATCATAATAATCTAATACATATTTGTGATTAAATACACACCTCTTGTTTCTACAGCATGAATACATTTCCTCACAAAGTTGAAACCTGCTTCATTTAAGAACACTATAAAAAAAAGAAAAAATGGTAATTACTTCCTAACATCAATACACAAAATCTCCCTGTTTAGCTACATTCACATATTAGTCAAGGGCTGATACACATTTATCCACAAGGTTATGATACTCATTCTGTAATAGTATTTCTGTAGATAAATCCTTAGCATTCAAATCCAACTTTCTAGTCACTACTGCATCTTTAGAAGCTTAATATTCTACTGTCTTTCTCAGAAATCAGTAGCTCCTCTAAACATACACCTGAAAGCTTGTGGTTTTAAAAGGAAATTACTGTAGTCCGCTCTGCTGAGCAAAATGCTTTTAAGAGTTCAGGATTTACATTATGAACAGAATATATTCATTGGATTTAATGCAACAAGATTTCTTGTTCTTTACACATGCACATAACCACTCATAAAATGGTAACATAGGAAAACGATCCTTGTTATTTACTTTAATTAGTGGGTTTATTTCAAGTGAATATATTTCTCATTCATTTTCTATCTTCAACACCCACTGTTCTAACTAGCTAAATAAAGAAAAAAAATAAACTGTCTAAATAACTACTTAAATAAAGAAAATCATAAACAGTATATTTTTCACCATTAAGAAAAACCAGGTGCATTTGCTTAAATATCAGATTTTCAGTCTCAAATACACCTCCTATTAAGATGTATGTCCTAATCTGACAAATCTCTCCCTGCGATACATACACCCACATACATATTTAAATTATTTTTACATATTTGAGTTAATAGAATATGATGTTAATAACAGACGTATCAATATAATGTTAATACAATTATGCACACAAATCTCATAGTATCTTTAAATACACTCATCCTGTTACTCAGTGTATCTAATAGGTGCATATACACCTAAAACTAAAAAGATGTGACGGGCCAAGATCAATTGTGTGAGGTGCCACGAGGCCAAGTGCCAGGTCCTGCACTTAGGTCACGACAACCCCAGGCAGTGCTACAGGTTTAGGGAAGTGTGACTGGAAGCTGCCTGGCAGAAAAGGACCTGCAGATGTTGGTCAGCAGTGGCTGAACATGAGCCAGTAGTGTGCCCAGGAGGCCAGGAAGGCCAATGGCATCCTCGCCTGTATCAGCAATAGTGTGGCCAGCAGGACCAGGGCAGTGATCGTCTCCCGTACTTGGCACTGGTGAGGTCACACCTCAGATCCTGTGTTCAGTTTTGGGCCCCTCACTACAAGAAAGACATTGAGGTGCTGGAGTGTGTCCAGGGAAGGGCAACGGAGCTGGTGAATGGTCCAGAGAACAAGTCTGATGAGGAGCAGTTGAGGCAGCTGGGGCTGTTTATTCTGGGGAAAAGGAGACTCAGGGGGAACCTTACCACTCTCTACAACTACCTGAAAGGAGGTTGTGTGAAGTGAGGGTTGGTCTCTTCTCTCAAGTAACAAGTGACAGGACAAGAGTAAATGGCCTGAAGTTGTGCCAGGGAAGGTTTAGATTGGATATCAGGGAAAATTTCTTCACAAAAAGGGTTGCCAAGTATTGGAAGAGGCTGGCCAGGGAAGTGGCTGAGTCACCATCCCTAAAGGGATGTAGATGAGGCACTTAAGGACATGATTTTGTGCTGGACTTGGCAGTGCTGGTTTAATGGTTGGATTTGATGATCTTAAAGGCCTTTTTCAACATAAATGATTCTATGACTCTATATAAGATATTATCTCAGCACAGTGTATGTATTTACATTTAGATTTACAGACTACCGACGGAAACTTAAAAGATTTATTAAATATATTGTAGCTTTGGAGGCACTCAAATTTTTTTCCAGCAATACAAAAGTTGAAGGCTGTCTCATAGTTTACATAGTTTAGGATGTGCTTTTGCGTAACCAAATCACTTAATCCAACAAAATTACTTCACAGCAATAGAAATAAAACATAAAATAATTAGTATCTCTCTCCCACACATATATCAAGAAACTGGAACACGACAGAAATCTAGCAGTATTTGGTAACTCAACAAAAAAAAAGCTTACTTTCTTCCTTCTTGCTAATAATGGCTGGCAGTGTGTAGATCTGTTAAAAAAAACAAACAACCGAACAACAACAATGCAACAGGACAATAATTGTACTTTAAATTCTTTATTACCAGGTTTGTTAGTAGTTGCAGCATGCTGTGTATTAGCTTGCTGCTAGGGAAATGCCAACTCTGCCTTTCACCATCTCTTGATGTTTACCACTCCAGCACACACCCGGGTTAACAGCCCGTGCTACTATAGGCAACTAATGCATTAGAAGTAAGATTTACAGAGTCCAAGTGGGTTAAATTTCAATACTACTAGCAATCCAATTTCTGTAGTGGTTCAGTCAAGCAAGAAGCATGTAAAAACACTCATCTATCTCATAAAACTGATCAACCTTTTTTTCCTATCAGATACAGGTCTGACATCACCCTCATTCAGTGACTACTTTAAGGGTAGACAAATAGTGGGCAGAAAACTCAGACAAGCCTGTCTCTCAGTAGCTTTCAACACATTTTTCTGGTCTCTGCAGTGCCTTTTGAGATGATAATTGTTTACTCCACAACATTGCCCAAAAGATGGTTGATCTTTACTACTGTAATAACTACCACTTCACATAATTTACCTGCACCATGAATCCTATTACTATGCTAGTCTATTACTTAAACTATTATTACTTAGAATATCCTAACATAAAATAATGATATATAACTGTCGGCTTAAATTAATAGTTCTCCTTTTCTATTTGTACCTATTTTCACTATGTACTTGCAGTAGTGTCTCACAAAGAAAAGAACTGTATTTGCTGGTATTGCAACAGAGTATCTGAAGTTTATACTAGCTTCTTCTTTAATATGTGTGCCATAAAAGCGTAAAATGAAAAGAAAATTAAAAAATATCCTTACTGGTTCCTTTCCATCCATAGCTTCGAGCCAAAGTTTTCGGTTGGATTCTGAAAAAGCTTGCAGTGTGATGATTCCAGGTCTGTCAAAAACACACACATTCAATGAAATTACTACTTTTCTCAGTTTCCAAAGCTAGAATTCAAATGCATATTGACATGTGAATACATAAAAGACACAGCAGTCAGAGAAAGTTGACAGTTTCTGACATAACAGAATAATTTTGAGGTAGATATAAAACGGGTCTGTTTTCTAAAAGTTTGGCAACAGTCAAAACATTTTTTAAGAGAACAGCTACAAAAGTCAGTCTATTTATCATATTTTAACAAAAAAATTAATTCAATATTTCTCTTTATCCCTGAGCTTGGAAAAAATATTTCTACAAACTACTGTATACATATAGTTTAAACATAGGAAAGCTGTTTTCATCTATCTCATATAATAATAATACCCAGGAATAAGCAGAAAAAATGTTACAGATGTAATTTTCAAGAAAGAAAAACAATGTGCTACCATACATTTCTGAATGAAATAGACCTTTGAGCAGAATATGCTTATTAATAGGTATTTATAAAAATATGTATGATTTGTTTATAAAAGAGGATAGTTTTCCTACAGGTTCTGTAAGAACCTGTCTTGTATCTGCATGCAAATATAATGTAGTAAAGACAACACATACGCAATGTGACAAATTTTGTTAGAAAACCATGTTTGAACAAAGAAGTATTAAGTCTTGAAAGCCTAGTTTGTCTGCATACATATTGTTTCTGCATACAAACATATCTGTTTCTTTTACAGGAGTCATTATTATATATTGGTTACGATTATTTTCAAATTGTTAACACAATGAAGACAATTCAAACCTCTCATATACTTCAATATCGAAACAGAATCGTTTGTCAATTGAATCTGTCTTTCTCCTGATGCAAGATTTTAGCTTGAACATTTCTGGTGAGCTTGTGACAAGACCATTCTACAAAACAAAACAAAATGAAATTAGCAGAGGCAGTAAGCTTATATAACTTGGCTTCACATCCTAAACTTAACCGTATGAACAGTCAAAACATGTCTTAAGACAGGGACTGAAATTATTTAGGAACATATACAATATACAATATTTTTTCTGTATATACAGTAAGACAGCAGTTAATAGCTTTCTGTCATGTATTTGTTATTTAATCATTATATTTCAGAAAATTCCCTAAATTCAAAACTTATAAAATCATATAATTCTGCCAACTCTCACATGCAGATAAAAAGATTTATAAAGAATAAAGCTGACTACCTCCTAATTCTGGCTACCATGATCATGAGACCTCTATATAATGTTGGCAAGGCTGACACAGTTGGGGATTCTGAGTAATGGGAGGAAGCAAATGTCACTCCTGTCTTCAAGAAGAGTGAGGAGAAGGATACAGAATCATAGAATCATTTAGGTCGGAAAAGGCCATGATTAAACCATCTACATGTCTTTTAAATACCTCCAGGGTTGGTGACTCAACCACTTCCCTGGGCAGCCTGTTCCAATGCTTGACAACCCTTTTGGTGAAGAAATCATCTGTAATAACCAATCTAAATCTCCCCTGAAGCAATTAGAGACCATTTCCTCTCATCTTATGGGGAACTATGGGCCAGTCTGCATCACCTTTATCCCTGAGAAAGTGATGAAGTGAATAATCACGGAGAGCATTTCCAAACATATTTGGGGAACAAAGGTTACTGGAAGTAGTCAGCATGAATTTAAGGAAGGAAAATCATGCAGGATCAACTTGATAGTCCTCTACAATATGATGGATGGCTCAATCTATGATGGAAGAGCAATGAATATTGTTTATCTCAAGTTTAGCCAGGCTTTTGACACTACATCCTAATATATCCTCATAGATAAGTACAGGTGGAGTACAGGCTAGGTGGTAAGGTGGACGGAAAACTCTGACCTGCTGAGCTCACAGCAGAAGTCTAGCTGCAGACAGTGACCAGTGCTATGCCCAAGAGGTCAGTACTGGGGCCAGCAATGTTAAGCATAAATAGTGACAAGCCCAGGCACCATGACAGGCAGAAGCTGACAGAGTGGAAAGCAGTTTGGCAGAAAAGGACTATCAGGTTCTCGTGGGCAACAAATTGACCATGAGCCAGCAATGTGACCTTGCTGCAAAAGGTCACTAGCCTCCTGGACTGCACCAGGCAAAGCACTGCCTGCAAGTGGAGGAAGATGATCCTCACTCCCCATTCAGGACTGGTGAGGCATACGTGGAATGCTGTGTCCAGCGCTCAGGTCCCAGGTACAAGAGGGACAGCAAGGTACTAGAGCAAGTTCAGCTAAGGGCTACCAAGGACTAAGGACTTGGAGCACAACTACCTGAAAGGAGGCTCTAGTGTGGTGGAGTATCTTTTGCCACATCTCAAATGAAAGTATGTGAGAGAAGGCCTGAAGTCGCGTCAGGGGAAGTTAAGATCAGCTATTAGGAAAAATTTTTTCAGAGTGGTTAGGCATTGGAATAAGTTGAAAAAGTTGCCCAGGGAGGTGGTGGAATCACCACCTCTGGAAGTGTACAAGAGGAGTCTGGATGTGGCACTTGGGGATGTGGTTTAGGGGTGATTATGGTGGTACTGGGTTGATGGTTGGAATAGATGATGTTGAAAGTTTCTTCCAAGCCTGATGATTCTATGATCTGTCATATGAGGAGAAGCTGAGAGAACTGGGATTTTTCAGCCTGGAGAAGAGGGATCATATCAGTGATTTATCTACAAATACCTGATGGGAAGGAGTAAAGAAGACTGAGTCAGATTCTCCTCAGTGGTGCCCAGTGAAAGGGCAGAAGGCAATGGGCACAAACAGAAATACAATTAATTCCATTTGAATTTAAGAAAAATCTTTTTTATGGCAGTCAAACACTGAAATAGGTTAGTCACAGAGGGCTGCATCCTTGGAGATATCTAAAACCTGACTGGACACAGACCTCACTAGCCTGTACTGGTTGACGCTGCATTGAGTTTAAACTAGAGATCTCCAGAGTCCCCTCCCAAAACTCATCCATCTGTGCAAATGCGATTGATTTCCTACACATTTGCAATGACCACATTAGAGAAGTTAGTTAATATGAGGTTTATATATGTTTTAAAAGAAATATTATTTAAATATTTATCCATGCGGTATAAGACATGCACTGCTTCATCTATGAAAACAGCCTTATGCTGGGTTCACATTTTTTTCTTTAATAGTTCTTAAATGCTTAATGTAAAAGATGGAATATATAGTTCATGTATGTATCATGTATGTGCAACTCACCACTTTTCCACCGGATTTGGCTTCAGCTATACTCATCGTAAAAGTTTTTGTTCCTTTGTCATAAGTGCAGTAATGTTTTACCCATGTAAATCCAAGAGGTCCTAGAGTAAACAGAGATAGTATTAAAAGTATATGTTTTAGCATTTTATTGCTATTTTAGTTGCAGTTAGCAGAGAAAAATAAAACATAGCAGCATCCACATGTAGCCTACAAAATCTAAGACTCTCTTAATTTTTTACCCTGAACATGTTGTTCAGGTATAATTTTCAAACATTGCAGCTTAATAAGGTTGCCCAACAAAGTTCTAGCAGACTGATTTTCTTTGGCAACTGGATAGGTAACTGCATTTTATTAGGGTAACCAGGTAGGAAACAGGCAAGAACAGAACTTGAGGATTTTTCTGCCTAGGAAATACAGTTGAAGATTTTACCAACCTAAGTGAAACACAACTCAGTATTACACACTTTCTCTGAAGGAAACCTTGAAGTCTGTTATTAAATGCAGAAAACTGGATGAACTCATAAAATCGGAGTGCATTTTCCTTTATTTTCAGAGTTCCTGTCAAAGGTAACAAATACTCATGGTACTATCATAGAAAGGTTATTCTTCTACCTGTTACCTTAAGGGTAAAATGGCATTGGCTCAGAGGTAAATTTAATCTTACATAGTTGAACACTGACAGGAGATTTCATTATATGAAAGAAAGCAAAGCAACTGTTTAGTCTAAAACAACATTGGTTTAGAGATGAGGGGATAAAGTGGGATGAGGGTGGTGGGGGAGTAAAGTGGGGGAGGTGGCACCTCCAGCAAGAAACACTGGCCTTTTATGCCTTGGAGGGGGTCTTGCTGGGGAAGAGGTGGCTGTAACAGTGGTGCAAAACGACCACGTCCACAAACGGAGAGTTGCACATGCTCACAATACCAAAGTACACTGTACTTAGGGATTCAACACTCTTCCTTTTAGGTGGCCATAAGTCAAATCTACAACAATCCCCACGTGGATGTGTGCCTGATCCTGGAGAAGTCACATCACACTACTTCTTAACCCTACTGCAAAGCATAGGATCTCTGATGCAGAAGATATTTTCACTCCTGTATTACCTAGAACTTTGTTCAGGCACTGCTGTGAATCTAAACACAAAACCCTCTTGATCTTAAGCTCAATGGTATTTTAAACTTGGTCCTTGCTAATGCAGCTTAGATACAGGCATTTATAATGTGTCCTTCACTGTGAGGCCATGGAGTAAATCCTCCCACCATTTCGAGAACTCTCTCCACATCCTAGAAATACAGCTAAGATCTCCCACATTTTTCTGAGAAAAAAGGTTTAATGTAGCAGAGGAAAAACACAAGCTCCCAGATTCTTACAGATACGTCTGGAGGGGTGATGTACTTCAGAGGACAGGATAATTCAAGTTTTTGCAGTGTGCTGACTGCTCCCCCTTGGGTCGGAACATTATGGCTATACCTGCACTGGTTAATAAACAGTGATGGCAGCATTTACCGTGACTAGGTAGCACAGGTAACTTGGAAAAATCTTTTTTACTTTTAAGAATAGGAAATTTAGAGCAGAGGGTCGGATATTTTGTGCAAGATTGTCTCAGTGGCAGGGAACAGTTCCATTTAGTTTACTAGCATTGACACAGTTTCCGGGTACTCAGCTCCAGAGACCAAACACACTGGCTACGTGAAGAGATAACGAGAAGGAAGAGCACTTCTTTCCTCTTGGACAGCATTATGCTTCAGAGCCTAGCATTATAATATGCCCCCCTTCTGCAAAGCTATAACAAATGGAGGTGTCAAAGCAGAGAAAAATACGCATAGATATATAAAATGCAGTATTGTAACTTTTGTGTAAATTCTGAATAGAAAAGGACTAGATGAGACTTTCAACCCACATGTGATCTTCCAATTCATTTCAATGAGAGTTAGTCATAGGAAAAACATGACATTGATTTTTTCAGACTACAGTATGTATGGATCTATTAATTCTTTTTAAAATCTGTCATGATTTAGGAATGGTATTCCCCAATTTAGCATTCCCACTAAAATACTCCAAACCAATGCGCTGCTTGCTCACTCCCCGTCCTTCCCCCTAACTCCCCTGCAGCGGGATGGAGAGGAGAATTGCAGGAATGAAAGGTAAAGATCACGGGTTGAGATAAGAACAATTTACTAGAAACAGCAATGAAATAAGAAAACAAACAGTAATAGCAACAGTATTAATAACAGAGTGGCCAAGAGGTAACCAATTCCTGTGTGAGTGCTCACCACGTGGAAACACCAGACAATACCTGACTGCTCCCTCTGCCATGCTACGTGACCCAAAAGAGACCCCTTCCCGTGTCCCTGGAAAATGACCTCCAGGTCCTATCCATGCCTCTCATGGATAATTGAAAAAACTAACCCTGCCCTGGCCAGAACCAGGACAAAATGAAAGAGCTCTAACTTTAAAAAATGTATTTTAAGGGGTTTGGTGTTTTTTTTTTTAATGTAAAGAGTTAAATAAAAATGGAAGGTGTTGAAAACAAATCTAGTAGTTTTACTACAGATACAGTGGCTTTGCCTTCTAAATGTAGCCACAAAGGTGATGGTCATATGATAGACTGCATCAATCATGTAAGCTGCATGTCTGGCAATTCAGAAATGTAGATGTGGGAATTTACATGGACTGCTATGCTGACTTCAAGAAAGCTCTCCCATTGCCTGTGTTTTGGAGGAAAGTAACATCATGATTCAAAAAGTCAACTGGTTATGCACCCGCAGAAGTTACCTGTTCTGCTCTTATATTTTATTTCCACTTAGTACAACAAAATCTGTAATTATTCTGAATCAATTTTTTCTCTGATGGCAATTCATTCTCTCTTTTAGCGTATATAAGAAGGCTGAGCACTCTCAAAGCAATTTTCAATTGTAGCCAGTACCATTTTTTTCAAAAATTACCATGACGCATATCAGTTAAAAATATATAGAATTTACTTTCAAAAATAGCAAACATTTAACCCAGTGACCCACAATTTGACAAGAACCTATAGGATGACAGTTGTAGGAACATAAACTTGCATGACAAGGAATTATACAACTAGTACCTTCCCCACTGCACAGTGATTACAGATCCTCTCACTGTTATTCCAGAATAAACTAATGAACCAACGTCTTTTCAGTAAGAGGATGTCAAGTTGGCCTCTCACTATTTAATGAAGCACAGCATGTGCCCAGTGCTTCACTGCTTTTCACCTTCCCCCATTAGCAAGGCTCTGGTCCACTTAACACAGGTTTCTTTTATGATTATTACTCAATTAAAATATAGAGGGTCTTCTTAAAACTTTCAGTGCTACCGAGGGTAAGAGGATGAGGTTAACTAATATAAGATTTTATTTAGATGACTTTTCTCTTACATCATTGATTCCCATTAAGTGTATGTTCATTTAGTCTTAAGAAGGCTGGGTCAGTGGAGATCCCTGGCACAAGATGCTCCTGATGGCTCAACCACAGGCCCTGTTCATGCAGGGAAAGTCCAGGTGACAGGAGGGAGCCAAAGCAGAGTTCTAGGAGCTTGCAGCAAGGCACAGGGCAGAACTTGCTACCAGTGAGCCACTGGGGCAAACAACAGCAAGGACCTTCCCACGAGGATCCAGAGAGCAGGAGCTGAGCTGCTTACAAGTGTTTTGATTACCATTCCATCTGACTGTAGCTACTCTGAGTGCTTTTTGAAAAATCAAACCCTTATTTTTCTTTTAAACTTTTCAATCATTAGGAAAGTAACTAGAGCAGAAGCCCACAGCCATTCAAACACAGAGCTGTTGATTTATCCTCCTAACTAAACCATATCCTTGTTCTCGCCTTTCAAATCAAATCAAAAGATACATCTGTTGTACTCACGTTTCTCCTGCACATAGAGATAGCCTTCCATTGTCCATTGACTTGGTGGTCTGTAATCTTGGTTGGCTGATTTCATTCTTTGCATGAGTCTCTCCACTTCCTGCCTAGTGCTTTCAAAGTTATTCCGAGTCTAATACCCGGAAAAGGAAACAAACAAAATCCCACATTATCTCATACAAGTACTGAAACAACAATGAAGAAGTAATTATTAATAATGCCAAATAGACTGTATCAGAGACCAACAGAAACATTTGCCTGAGACATAAAAGGGAAAAAAAAAGGCAATAAAGAATAACACTCTTCACTTCTAGAAGCCTAGGAATAACATACTAATGAAGAATTCAACTTAAGTACACAAGTGTAAAGGAAATGTAGCTGAGAATAGCACCATTCCTCTTTCTGCAGGTCACTAACCTCAGACAGGAGCCATTTCATATCTTTCAGTATGCTTACACAGTATTTTGCAGACAGATGCAGGCTTTCTCTCTGTATACTTTAGGATTCTCAGACAGAAGCCTGGCTAAACTAGAAGCTGCTGACAGCTTATTCTGAAACCTGAAGTAATAAGACCCACTGAACCACCTGAAGTACAGTGCAGAAAACACTAGTCTGGTTTAAAACCAGGCTAATGTATCCAGACAGCTGTGATTTCTCCACACGTGGAAGCGACAAATGTACTGTGCATCCATATCCGCAGCAATACCACAAGTGCTGATGCTCAGAACAGTCAGGTTATTGGCACTGTCATGAATGTTTTTTGATAGGACTATGCAAACATCACAGTTTAGTAAACAAAAATATGGTATGTAAGAAACAGTTCACAAGTAGCAGAACTGTGCCAAAAGCATGGAAAAACTGTTTCTACCCTAAATATCACGTGTATAACCTGGTATCTTGCAGAGCAAACAATTACAACACTAAGATGTGTTTTCCATACTTCCTAATACCTATATGCAAGTGAATTCAGTGAGGTTAGGGTTTCCCTTCATGCACCTAGCATGGTATAGTAGAGGAGAATAATTGTGAGGTGCCAGAGGTTTGATAGGTTGTTACTAATATATAAGATATTGAACACTCTGTTCCTACAGGTCATAGAAAAAAATAAAGATTTCAGTAATGTTTCTACAAAATCATCTATGGACTCTAATCCTGATTAGTCAGAAAGATACTCTCAGGACTTTATACTTTCTGCTTTTCACGGGCCATTCATGCAGTTAGTTGTGCTATAGTATAATAATACATGTTTAATCTCCTTTTTGAAGACAAATATTATTATTAGAGAGGAAGTAAAATTCTACTTTGAACTTTCCAGATTTGAGACCTTCAAGAGGGACATGTCATTGAAGGAATGTTCCCATGCTGAGAGCTTATGTCTGTCTATTAAGTCCTTAATTACTTTTAAGCAGCCAGGTCTCTGAACCAAATTATAGAAAACAAAGCCAAATGGACATGTAAAGTATGTCACTGGCCAGTTGAAACAGTTAAAGTGACAAGAGGTCACGTCAGAACATGGTGACCTGTTAAGAGCTGTTGGTCTGCTACTACTCTCCTACTCCTGTGGCTGTTACCACTCCTGCTCTAACCAGTAGGACAGAAACAGTAGTTCAGGTCAACTGTTCTCCAAGACCTGAACACGCAATGCAGTGGTGAGGAGTACTTTTGGCAGCTATAACAAACAGGCTGAACACAATTTTCCCTGTTTGCAGTTTGTCTTTCCCTATATAAATTGTTTTGCTTCAATCTGAGGTTGGGTGATGCTATGAATGGCAAGTCAGAAGAGAGCCCAGCTGGCTAAAGGAAGCTGTGGATCTAGATCTGGAGGCAGAATTCATACTTCTGTCTAACAGGAGTTAATGATGTACTGATCCCACTGTTTCTTCGTGTGTATATTTTTTCTAATATATAAATACAATGAACAAAAATAATCATTATACATTGATACTTCTGCCTAACTTTATATCTCCCTTTATCTCTGTAGTCTATTTACAATAGCAAGTTGCATTAATATAATATTCAGAAAACATTAAATTTAACTATTTCTTAATTAACGCTGACATAGAAAAAATCCTCTAACAATTCTGCTTCTATAGGTATGTGCATAGAAGATACCAACATATTATGACTTACAATGTCAGTTTTGGTCTGTGCTATGGACTCATGCTCCTCTCAGAACTTGCCATATTAAAATAAATAAATTTCTGAAGTGCATTTTTCACCCTTTCAGTGAAACTGCTGTGCAACAACACTGACCTCTTGTGCCTTTATTTGAAAGAGTCTTAGTAGCAAACAAAGTAGAAAACACATAATTTGAAAGGACAAGGGGCTGAGATGCTCTACAGTCAGAGAATATTTGCATTTTGATCCAAAAGGAAAATGTTAATAATTTAGGAAGTTTAGCCTTATTTCCTCAAGCAGCTTTTAAAATGGAATCTGTACCTATGCATGAACAAAAAGACATAAAAGGACAGGGTGTTGTGGAGGTCTTCTGCTGAATGTGTTTAAGTGGAGCAATATCTGGAAGAGTGCAGTACTCCTAAGAATGCAGATCTACATTAACAGTCATTTTCCAACTTTGAGCCAACATAGGCCTCTCTAATAACAAGGTGTTACAGGGAAAATGTCAGTATTTTATTTTCCAGTAACCCACAGGGAACAGCAGTTGAGCACAGTTAAGGTGTTCTTGTACTCCCAGATCTGTTTCATATTCCCAAGTTCAGTGGCCAAGGCACTATCCACTAAGGCTGATGTTAGGTATTCTAGACAGTTGTAGCTTCTTTGCCTCTAGTGGAGCTACAAAAATTTCTGTCAGGTGTGTCTTTTCTTGAAAGAATAAAATGGTTTAACTTCTTTTTTAAATTTTGTTCTGGACTTTGATGTTACTTGGCATGAAAAATACAGGGCTGGCCCAATATGAATATGCTGAATTTCACTTGTATACAGAGGTTAAAATGAGTGGAAAAGTATGTTGATTAAATGCATTTTAGTTATCTCTAATAGGTATGAATTTTTTGGGCATAGTTTGTGCCCAAAATAGGATCTTGTATGGCTCAGACTACCAAATCCAGACCAATCTACAGCAAAAGATCTATCTGCTCAGTTGAGAGTAACTCTGTACACAAAAAAAGAGATTCTTTCTACAGGTGAAACTTAACATTCGTGAGAGCTGCTCATGGAAGAATGTCCCACCAGTTCTTTTATGGCCCAGAGAGCAGCCAGAGAAGGGTTTCCCAAGTATGCTTTATATACAGTGGGAAGCTAGCAGACAGCCAGACAAACTGTATCATTCTATACCAGCTGGAGCATTTTTGGTACCTTCACTTACTCCAGAAGACAGGCATCACTCTCAAGAAAGCACTTATACAAGTTTAAACTATCTGCACTTCTGTGTTTTCTAACAAAGACTTGGTTGCTGTCCTGTTTTTCTTGACCTTCCTCACAAAACTTTGATCTGGAAATCACAAATTAACTATCTGAAGATTAATTTTTCCGAAGTTATTTGCTGTCAGGAATCTTACTTACTTTAACCTTATAAAAATAAATTTTACCTATTTTTATATTAATTTGATTGCAGCTTACTAAAACATTGCAAGATTTAGAGTTTCAATAAAGTGCTACGAGTCTAATATTCTGAAATTAAATTAGCAAATTAAATGGGATAAATACAAATCATCCTTACGTTCTGCAAATTGAACTGCAGTTGCTGCTTGTATGGTGCAAACTCCTGAGCCAATTCATATCCTTCATGGTAAAACGTAAATAATCCTTGAAGAAAGGCCAAGAGCTGAAAAGGTAAAATTGAGAAGCATTATACATTTTTAACTCCTGGAACACTCTATGCACAAAAGCAAAGCTTTGCTGAGAATGAATCCATGGTCAGAACTTAAGAAACAGAAAGAAGTGTTAAACAGTTTTTGCATCATGAAGTCATAATTTACATAATAATTTAATTCACTGTCATAGTAATTTTATCCAGTATTTCAGCTGGAGTCTTTGCTAGTATTCATTTTCCAAGTTCAAACTTTCAGAGTTCAAGATTTTTTTTCTCAAAATATTTTTGCACTTTCTTCATAGTAATTGCTTGGGCTATGACTTATTTTCCACAAATGAGACTTTTGAAACTATGTTTTGGATAGCTTAGTACAACACAAGAAATCCAGACTCTTTCTTCCTGCTCTGAACAAAATGCAAACTCTATCTGGTATGTCTGTGAATGACTCCAACAGAACCACTGAAGTCTGTATATATCCAGTTGAAAAGTCTTTTTAAAGTTTGCTTTAAAACAGTGTTCAAGTAGTAAAAGGAGCATCTAGATTTTAGCTCTTGAACTAATGCATTCCTGTCATCTCTTAGGTTTGAAAGCCTTCTAACTTACTCTGCTTTAAATTTTAAAAGCGTTTTAACATTGCTGTAAATAAAAAGCATTTAATTTCTTATCAGGGACTGTTCTCTTTGTATAGGTAATTTAGATAAAAAAAAAGTTAATAAAACAACAACAAAAAAGATAAATTAATTTGTATGTACAATAACATAAGCTCTAACAAGAGGAAAGATTTTTCTTAGTATATTACACTACTAAAAAGCTAATCGTCTAGGCTAAGTAACTGGATGTCTAGGCTGCCTCCTAAATCAGTAAAGAACCACAGGTATTCAGGAGCATAATTCTTTTTCCTTTTCCAGACTTCTCCCTCAGGATGGGATGAATGATCCAATGGAAACATTTCTCTCTCTCCATTGACTATTGAAGTAGTCTAGACTTAGGTAACAAAAATGCCATATTTAATGCACTTTACTTTGTGTTACCAGTACCATAGATTACTGTAAGTGGAACAGCTTAAAAATGTAGTTTTTACTGTGTTTATATTTTCTTTACATTTACTCTCAGCCCTACTTGGAGAAGTGTCCTTAAATTGTTCTGCCTGCTCTCTCCTGTTACTCTCTAAGAGACTGCTGAGGGCATGCTTATCTGCCTGCTGTTTTGCTGCATTAGTAAGTTAAAGCAGTTCAAGGTTAACAGACCATCAGTGCTGGCACAAATGCAAACATGAGGATAAAGCTGGGAGAAGGACTTTGCTCTTGGTTTTTTCTGGTGTTGCAGGATCAGCTGAAACCCCGGCCTCAGGCAGAGATGGTGTGGGCCAGCAGCTGCCCAGTAAACTGGTCACAGAGCTTGCAGAACTGAGAAGATCCTTGGACATCAAAGTAAGTTTTTGTGGGGGCCTCTGCAGTGGGTATGAATTCCTGAACTGTATTCCACTACCAAACAAACAAATGAAGGCAACACAGTCAAGTGGAATGCTCCACAGCTTGTGTAAATTGTCTGTCCATCTGAAATCATTATCTCAGCTAAGGACCTGACCTTGAAAGTCTCTTATTGGTTAACCAATATTGGTTAACCACCAATTCAGGTGGTTCTGAGGAAGGTCCAAATACAACAGTTTATCTTAAGAAGCTCCAATTGCATAAATAGATAGAAAGAGTTATATAATTTTCTATAACTTTAGACTAATTGTAAATTTCTATAATTCTAGAAAGAATTCCATAATAGAAAAGAAAGAAAATTAATCTTGTTTTTTTATGAATAGAGCATAAAATAAGTAAATTATAACTAAGGCTCTGCTCTGGCTCCAGTTATGTGAAGCCTGCGCTCACAGTCTACATCCAGTTACTTATCAGTGTCCCCAAACACAACTCCTTCAGATGCAGCAGCATAACTACTCCTGTGCTTGCTCTGGCTTGGTTCAGTCTAAAGGATTAACATAACCTGTAAGTACAAGTTTGATGCTAAACCCACCCCTTTCATCTAAAGAGGTACTGCAGGAGTAGCATGAGTGCTTAGCAAAACTGCAGCCACATCACAACGTTAGAGCACACCAAAATTACAATAAAAGAACTAGTGGGAGAAAGTTTCAGTGGGTCACCTTATGCCTGAATTATAAAGACCAGTTTACAGAGCATTTCAGGAGAATGTACTATAAACTGTTTAAATTTCATCTTCAATACTTGAAGAAAACCATTTTCCACCATACAAAACACTTTTACAAAGTATACTGAGAAACACCAAGGAAAATATTTAACACAAGATGGCAGCAAAGCTGAATTTATCAGAAAGCAAAAATACAGCAGCAAAGAAAAAAAAAACAAACCCTGAGAAAAATCTGAATTCATTTTGGTTAAAACACTTCTCAGGTATTTTGGCAGTTGTGCATTGCAGAGGATCTGGCCTTGAGGTCCTCTTGGTCAAATACTCTCTGAGCACTTAGAAAAATAGGAATAAAAGAAAAATATTATGCAAGTCCTATATCAGCTTATTCAAGTTCTGTGCTTAAACAATGTGACACTGAGGATGGTATTTGCTTCAAAATATGTGTCACTAGCAGTGGAAAAACAAGGATCAGAAAATGCCCAGTACCCAATGGGCCTATGCCATTGAGGCAATGCCATAATCACTTCGATTGACAGGTACAGCCATAGCTCTGCACAGAAGAGATCTAAAAGCCAAGGACTTTTGCCGTAGGCTTATGCTTATAGTGGGGTTTTCTTTTTCCTGGTGTTAGTGCTGCTGAAGGCAGGCTCATAATTTTAAAGCAATTAATATTAAATAGAATAGAAAAAAATACTAAAAACAAGAATAGAAAATCAGTGCTTTTCCTTTCAAAGAAGATTTTCAGAATGTATTTTGAGGTGCTCTTCATACATAAAGAGGTAATTTGTTTCATCAAACGTGACAAACAATGCCTGATGCTTTCATATCGCAATTTTTCATTTTAACAAGTGCCTTATAGTTACGTCATTCTGAGTATCTAATCAGTCACATCAACAAAGAGCGTGGTCTGAACTCCGTAATACAAAGGTACTCACCACCTCAGAGCCACGAGGATTTCAACACAGAACCTGAAACTAAATCCAACTACTTCTGAGACTTTATTTATTTTTATGTAGAGCTGGTGACCTCAAGACTGCCTGGTCGTTTCATTCTCACAGGAAGAAGACTGTACTTAGGTTTCGGGTAGGGGAGGAATTTAACCTTTGGCTTGCAGCACATCAGCCAGAAGTCCCTGTCTCCCTGTTTTCATTTTATTTATAAGCAGATAGTGCTTACTCTTCAGATTAAAGTGAATGTAGTTAATAACATAGAAAATTCAAGAAAGAGGAAATCAAGTTTAATGTCCACTGTGAAGTCTCATGGAAACGCATACAATTACAGGCAGGGTTTTTGGGTTTGCTGTTCTTTTTCTTTTCTTTAAAAAAACATTTAATGGACCACCCCACACATTTCAGACAGTTTACTGCTTATGAAATCTATGCCCTGATTTCTACAGTAGAAGGAAGTCCTGGCATCACCAAAGGACAAAGCAGAGCTCTAGGAAGGTGTTTGCATTTTTTTACAAGCATAACATCCTCAGAAAGTGGCATTGGTTTGGACTAGCTTCTTTGGGCTCACAAAGGAAAAACTAGCAAGACAGGTTAGTGTCACTTACTTTGCTTTTTTGTTTAACTTGATGTAAAGTAAATTTTAACGTTAATTTGACCTTCAGAAAAAGTTCAAATTCATGATCTCTGTGAAAACCTGAGCTGTTTTTTTTCTTGGAAACAATCAAGATCTAGGAGGATCACAAATAGGAATATGTCAGTTACTCACACTAATACACATTAGCGCCCCCTTCAATCAAGATGCAGAGAACAACAGAGAAACCCAGGGCCCTGGAAGCAGCTGCATAAGTCTACCCAAAATATTATAATCCTCTATTCTGTGTCCGAGTCATTAGCATGGACCTTAAAATCTTTCCCTATTCTCCTTCAGGAAAGAACATACTCCACTCTTACCAACTTCTACTGTCCCAGCTGTAACCCACCTGGCAATTTTTGCCAGGTTATTGCTCCTGCTCTGGTTCCCAGATCATCCCTATCCTCTGGCACGGAAAACCTGAAGGTCTTGAAAGGAGGTCCAGCAGATCGTTTGCTTTTCAAGTTCTATTCCCATGCCATGAACTTATCCTTCTTTCATATGGGCATCACAGTTTCCTCCTTCACTGCACTAACAGATTTATTTTGTTAAACACTCCTTCAAAGAGTCTATTAGCAACACATCAGACCAAGAATTATACAGAGATGTGACACTGTGCTGATAAATCAGAGACATGGCTAGCACATGCACTAGAATGCCCCACAACCATCAAAGCTCCTAAGGAGGAATGTCTATATAGACACACATCACCAGGCATCGTCCACCATCTGAATATCCATAGAGCACATTTTAGAAAGCCTATTTTGAAGTCTTTGTGGGGGGTTTTTTGTTTGTTTTTGTTTTTGTTTGGGTTTTTGTTTGTTTTGTTCATTGTCGTTATTTTTTTCTTTTTTTTTTTTTTCGCATGGTATTGCTGATTTGTATTATAATTTACTTGGCATACTTTGCCTTATAGGTTTTAGTAAATGGTTTTATTCCAGCATTTTGTATGTAACAAACTAGAAACATAAAATTAAGAATTTTGAAGGTTCAAAATTTTATAACTGATGTTGTAATTTAAGCTCTGTTTATATTCAGCTTGATTATAAATAAATTTACACCCAGAGTCAGATGACACTGCCTGCAAGGGCTATTATTGCCCAGTGTATTCCCCATACCTTCCAGAGTATTATCCATACCTTCCTCTGGAAAAACAAGTAATGAGTTGTATGCAACAAACAGCATACTGGGCTGAAATGCCTACTGGTCTGAGACAGCATAGAAACTGATCCACTTAAAAGTAAATTTTACCTATTTTAACTATGTGCAATTGCACAATATTTTCCAGTGTAAAAGTCTTTTCAATACTGAAAGTTTCTATTACATTAAAGGAGCATAAAGTCTTCTATACTAGGGTCAGAGCCAGGTCAAGATTGCTAGATTTTTCCAGGATGTGAGAGTTTTGCAGAAGGAGACAGAGAGAGACACTCTGGATTAATCTGTGACAGGTAGAAAAATGTTCTTATTTAGGAATCCAAGCAAAGTTTTAGTCCCTAAGATTTGGCAGCTGTACGCCATAAAGATAGGATTTCTGTTAAGTACTGCTTGCTGAATCCAGGTTCATTAGTTTGCATCAATGTCAAACATTCACTACACAATACATTCTCATCTCATGGAAAGAAGGCATCTGAGAAGCTCTTCTTGGTGACAGCGGGTGTTAGAGATATAATTCAACTTTTTTCACAGTCAAGAGTGTTGCTTCAGTAGTTACAAGGAAGCTGGAAGATGGGTGTGAAGAGGGAGAAAAAGTTATATTTGTCATGTTCCTCTATCATGACTGACGTTCTGCTATGCTCAGTAGGCTTAATGGGAAGGGACAGATGACACTGGAAGTTCTCTGTCAAGGGCTACAGGTACTAACTAAATGAGGCAACTGGCAAGCTAGTCCTGTATGACATGAACAGTAATACTACTAATATGCCACAGAAATATGCTACCACATCATACACGTCATACTGCTTTTGGTACTGACTGACCGAGAAGATAGCTGGGAGATGAGGGGGGGCAGAAACACAGTCCGGAAGAAAATCCCAGACCTAAATACGGACTTTGAAACACAACTTTATCTTACTCTTTAATGGAGTGTCAACACATGCTTTCCTTTATGTGCAAAGTACACTAAAGACAAAGGGCTTCACCAACAAAAAATAAACCAACCTATCCTACAGAAAAGTTGATTTTTCACTTTATTTCATAGGTAAATCAGAAGAACGTACGTATATATTACATACCTGAAATATTTAAATTAAAAAAGTGGCTTAAAATTTAAGCCATTAAATCACAGTATTAGTTAACATCCATTATGTGTTGCACAGACACAACATTACATGTTGTCCCATTAAAATGTTATACACACTTCAAGTCATCAGACATTTCACTTCACAGTAGATATGAAACTCTTATGTAATCCTTTAATAAACATGGAAAGTGCCCAAGTCAAGATCTTAATGTCTACGTACAAACAACCCGCATTCACAACTTTAAAAGGGAGCAAAAAAAAAGAATAATTTCAATTAAATTTTTAGCTTTAAATGTGTCCATTCTAAAGAAAATAACCCAAAACTTACAGGTTCTACAAATTCAAATTTCTTTTTCTCTTGTACTTCTTGAATTTTAAAAACATATTCTAATGATGCTTCATAAAAGTTCTGATGTTCTCTGTCAATCTGTGTATCTGCCTAAAAGACAAAATGAAATACAGACAATATTAATTTAGTCTCATGATGAAAGACTATGTCTTTACCAAACAGATTTTCCAAAAAATTACTTTACAAGTTTCATGGGGTTCAGTTTTCTTCCTGAAAATTGGAATACCTCCTTAAAATAGCTAAATGCAAGTTTAAGAAGCTAACATTACACATTTTAGCCTCATGCCTTTTCCCCTCTTTTTTCCAGTTTGCCCTTCCTTTTTGCACTTTCATATTCTAGTTTTTAGGAAAGCCTGGAGGGGAAGAAAGGTGGCAGCAGGTACTTGGTGTATGCAAGTTTAGAAAAAGAAATAAAAGTGAGTAGCGTAGGAATCAAAGAGAGAGAAAGAGATAATTATTTCTATTGAAATGTTTAAGTATCACATGCACTGAAATTGTATCTATTTCTTAGCTTCAAATACCTTCTCAAGAACATTTTCCTTTCTTAAATAGGCTGTCTTTAGCATTGACATCTTGCAACTTGTTATTTTATAGGATGAATCACATGCTCTTGGAATGTAAACATATTAAAGTCCTTAACCTCATAAATAAAATATTTTTCAAGTTTTAATTTTCAAGTGACAGAAACTACAAGGCAATACTTGTCAGAAGTGCCTGACTAATACCACCCACCATGGCGATCCAGTACCAGAACAGTGTCTTCTGCCTAAACAGCTAAAGAATTAACTCTTATCAGCTGATAAAGAGTAATAGGCTTTTATCCTCAATTTAAACAAGCCACAGGAGAGGGAACTAACAGACAAGCAGTGTAGCATGTAGATAATGCTCAAAGGAGATTCAGATTCTATTTTAATTCATCCTTCTTCAAAAAAAAATTATTTTATCAAGCAAATCCCTTTTGGGCTGCATTAGTTAGGTTTATGGTCTTTGGTCAAAATTTTTTCATGGATTGACAATGAGAGTAAGACCACTTCACTTACTTTTGATGTATGCCTGTTAAAATACAGGATACTTCTGTATATTCTCTATTTCAATTCTGGCATTAAAAATAACAAATGTGGGGAAATTGGAAAAGCTTGATGTTGTCTTCCCTTGAAAACAAACCAGCAAACATATCATAAAAGAGGTTTAGTACTTTTAACAGTATAAAAGCAAAAAGTCAGTGTTTTCTTTCAGGCAGGAGTTGGTCATCAATAGCACCATATATAATTAAGATTGCTTGTTTAGTCAAGGACATCCTACTACTGTGATTTGGCTACACAGACTCTTAATATTGATCCACCTCCCTAGCCCAGTGCTCTAACACTACTTCAACACATGGGCCTCAATGTTATATTTCAAGTGATTCAGCACCAGCATTTCCTTCCGATGCCTATAGCAAACAAACAAACAAAAAATCAGTAAATTAAGTACACAAACTAATATTATGAAGCAGAAATCAAACACTCAAAATGCTAATAATGAACCGCTCTACCTCAAAATTAACTCCGCGATTTGCCATTCATGTGGTGTGTTTGGCTACTGTTTTCTCTGTTAATAATTTTATTTCATAAAAAAATGTATCACAAAGTCAGTGCTACATAGCTGAACCAAAGCAGTTGCCGCTAGTTTGGGACATGATCCAAGAATCCCTTGCTCATAAAAGTGGCATCAATAAGCACGTGAGACAGACCTCAGCTCTCACATTTAATTGTAAGTAAATAATAAAATCTAGGTTTAGAAAATATCTCTTTCAGGCTTTGGCTCAGAAAAAGTATTTAAACACCTAATTAAATCCATCTCTATTCTGAATAGCATTTAAGCAGGTTGTAGTTGTAATGATACTTACAGTAACCAAGTACCATCTCAAATATAGATAGGTTCCTAAATTAAGGCCATAATCACCACCAGTGAAGAGGGACTATATCAGAATTTCACAAATATCACAGAATCACAGAATATGCTGAGTTGGAAGGGACCCACAAGGATCATCGTGTCTAACTCTTAGTCCTGCACAGGACCAATATACATTCTGTAGAAGCTTATGAATTTGTGTGAACATCAAAGGATTCAGATTTGTAAGAATCACTTTGAAAGTGATTTTAAAGTTTCAAAAGGTGAAAGGATTTTCACGTTTTCCTATGACTTCAAGCTTCATGTATAAAATGAAGACATTTGATGTATATGATTTTGAGTCTCTCTGTGTATGATATCTAGTTATAGTTAGTAATATTGTCATTGATGTAGGCTATCACTACAGTGTATACCAGAACATCACATAAGCTTAGGGACTGATTCTGGAACAGACTTCAGACAAATAAAATCAGAAGTTTATTAACTTTCTCACATCATTCAATTCTGCCCATTTTCTGCTCCTCTATGGGCTTCCCTAGGCAGTGAAAAGATCCTACTACGAAGTCTCTTTTTGGTGCTAAAGGAAAAAAGCGTAGTCATCTGAGTCTTGCAGGCTCTTAAAATATCCAACACATTTCAGTTAGGTGAATATATGCAAACTACTCTCTACAGAATATGTTCAGACCATCAAACTTCAGATGCCTAATGAAGGTGCTCTCAACTGCAGAGCCCAACAGAGTACAAGAACTGATCCTTGCTCATCCCAGTACTCCTTAACCCACATAATGTGAGGAGGTATCAAGAAACCTCATAAATCCAGGGAAATAGCAAGTTTAAAAAGAAGCATTTTTTCTGTGTAACTGTAGCAGTCAAAAAATGGTATTCCCATCTCACTAAATGCATGATATTGGCTTGAGGTATGGACTTCCCATCACCTGAACTGAACATCAAAGTCCTAGCTGCCAGAACCACTTGGTTCTTTGCTCATGCCCTGGTTCTGCTGTGGGCAGAACCAACAGACTCCATTCTGGACATCCGTGCTATAAATGTGACTCACCCAAACCACTCTGGATACGAGTCAGCACTTATCGCTTGGATTTCAGGCCAGGAATTAGTGCTTGGCCTCCTTTTATTTACAATACAGACATAGGCCGAAAGTCTCCCTAATTACAATTTTTGGTACCGATTTGCTATTGTACCTTCTGCTTATGGCAGGTCTATGTTGCTGATTCAGCACATCTTCAGCTGCAGAAAACTGGGGAAGACAGAAATGCCCTTGATTCTTTACAAGGGAGGCATCTGGGAAAGCAGAAAACCTCAGCCTCAGCTACAAGATTTTAAATCCAGATATGTCACTTAAGGACACAGTGGAAAATATTATTCTGGTTTTTCATTAGTTTATATACTTGAGTCAAATCCACTGTTATTCTACCATAGTTTATTAAATTCACAGTTGTTACTTTTCACTTCAGTTGCTACTTTTAGACTGCAATTATTCTCATGTCTCAAGAGTAAAATATTTTATTTGTTTTATTTTATTTCTATTCTAGAGCAATTTGGTGCTTAAGTTCATTTTTCCACATTTTGGTAAGAAATTTTTTTTTTCATCTGGAGCTTAGCCTCTGACAGAACTGTTTCTTTATCAATACGCAAGATATGTAGAAAAAGTGAAAGCTCTGACATACAAATTGAATAATTAACCAATCCTACATAACTGATGTCTGATACAGACTGACTACAGCAATTCAGGTATATAAACATTATTGCAAATTTTGAATTGCTAAGCCTTATTTAATTTGAATTCTAATATTACTGGTAAGCATGAAAAAAAAAATCTACGACTTGTGACTGAGTGATGGTCACATCTCTGGTGAAAATTCCATCTGCAAACTAATCCCCATGATTTAAGAGCCATCATGACAAGAGTTATCCCATCAAAATAATTTTTAACTATTTTTGGCATAAATCCCAAAATATCATTGATACCATATTGCTGGGTTTACTATAATTTGCTTCAAAGACAAATCACAATTATTTCTACCAGCATACTGAAAAGCCCTGGAATCCTCCTGTTAAACTAGAAGTCTTCATGGTTTGTGTTTTTAACAGAAAAGAATTAGCCATACAGGCTCTTCAAAGCTGAAGTTGTGGATACAATTTCAGGGCATGATGCTGCAATCTCAGAATGAAAAAGAGGAAAAAAGAAGAAGAAAAGAGTATCATTAAAGTGATCTCAGTTCAGTCTTCCAGCTTAAATTTTATGTGAAAGAGAAGTGCAATTTCATTGATTAATACATTAAATAGCAAAAACCCCCCAACAATTAATAAACTGACTTTCAAATATTCCACATTTAGCTTATCAAACTCACACTTTTATTATAGTAATATAATTCCATTGTAACCAATAAACACTAGCTGTACTTGAAATACACAAAGTTGCACAGGTAGAATATTGCTTTGTTAAAATATTTAACAAATATTTGTGTTGTATAAATTGCAGTCACAACAAGCATGACTACAAGAAATCACCACAATTTCTCATTAACAAACTACAGCATGTCTTGAAGAGAACCAGTTTGTTATCACGATTTCTATGCAAATGTGAAACTAGGTAACAGTGCGTTCAGTGCTTACATCTTGCAAATGAGATTCTTTCTTCTTTGCTGATAAATTTAAGTGCTTCTCTAAGATGGAATAATATTTCTCACTTTCCTTGTCAAACTTCTTCTTCCCATCCTGAAAAACAAAACATTGCCAAGTAAAGTACTTGACTAAATATTACAGCTCACTTAAAAGAAATAACAGGTGCCAAAATATGGCTGGTTATAAAACCATTTTTGTTGATTCCAATATTTTTAGGGTATAATTCTGAATTGGACCTGAAGATACTAGGAGTACTACTTCAATTATCAAAAGTAATATTAGGTAGGATTTTTCCCGTAAATAATCAACTCATACAACAGACTCGCATGGTTTCCCATAGTAAATATACACGAGGTTTTATGTAGGTGGTATCTTTCTAGGCAGACATTCATCCTCCCCTAGCTTTATAAGTGTACCTAACTGCCACACTGCCTTTGTTGAAAAAAAGCCAAAACACTTTGTAAGAGGTGAGTATAAAAAATGTGATGATGATATAGGCCTATCCTTTGCATTTAACACTAATATGCTTGTTTTTCATCCATACTCTAAAAATATGAGGATGATGGAAAAGCATATGTGTGGCTGTAAAAGGAAATTGGTGCAAAATTCTGTTTCCAGTAATATTCCAATGTGTCTGAGTATTTAAGCTTGCCTCATTTAAAAGAGTTATCCTGCTTTTTTTCTTTCCCTTAAAGTTTTTCCTTTCCCTCCTCTTAAAGTTTTTCTCATCATGTGTAGCCAATCTTCACATTTCCACTGTAAGACTATTTTAATATGTGATGATACAAAGGAAAGCTACTATGCTGAGAAATAAGAAACATCTTATTTTCTGTATTCGAATTCAGAATTCATACTTCAAAATTTTTAAATCTGCTATTCTGAAATTTAAGAAAAAGATAGCTTTCTCAAAAGCTTTTCCATCTTTCAAGAAGTAGCAAATTTCAAAAAATAGGAGAATGGATCAAAGTCAATATCTCATCAGAGAATCATTAATGATAAAAATATAACTTTTTAATTAAATAATTATACATCCTCTAATTAAGAGCAACCCTTTGCCAATGACTTTTACAGTCTTAGATAAGTCCTAATGATTAACAAGTTGAATGTTTTGAGAAAACAAAAAAACCCTCAAGACAAACAGTCCTATTTATACATGTGCAAAAACTATTAACTACAGAAAAACTAATTATTGGACATCATGCAGTAGCATCAAGTCATTTTAAGAACTGTAGTGATTCTTTCCCTGATCCTTTCTCCCTAGAAATTGTTATATACAAAACCGAATAACTAGCTTGCATTGTAGCACCAACCTGTTTCCTTTTTCATATCATGGGAAAGTCAGGTTAGTCAGAGAACTAAGACATAGGAGGAAGAATTTAATGACAAGAATTAAAACTTATCAACCAGCTGCAACAACAAACCACTTACTGATTAGCTCCAGTGACTAAAGCTCACAATGGTAATTATACTTGATTGTAAAACATATCATATACCTTATATCCTGCAGAAAGTTCAAATATATTTAGTATGAAAAATATGCACAATTTTAATGTTCTGACTACCCCACAGCAGAGATATCTCCAAAAGACACCATAAGGAAAAGAAGGTTCTTGACCCAACAAAATATTAAATAACAATACAGAAAAATTCCCAGTGCCATCTAGATTTATTACAGATATGCATATATGAGGATAAAAAGGTAAATAGGAAAATATATCTAAATATATACGTAAATATATTCCAAAATCTTTCCCAAACACATTTTTTGAAGAAAGAGAGAAGGCAGAAGGTAGTTCCTAGATGACTGATAAGTCAAGAAATCAACTCCTGCGGGACTGAAATCACAGGTGAGTTCCACAGCCGCAGCTTTATTGGAGAATACTCAAGTGCCAGGCTTTTATGATGAAGGAAGAGCAACCTGAGTATTTCAACATCACATCTGGTCACTAGCAGAAATTCAGTGCAGTTGATCACATCCCACAAATATGTACCTTTTGAATAGTGCAGCTAGTTACATACTGTCTTATCTTCTGAGACAATGATGTTAAGTGCTGGGCTAGAAATATGAACCAGACTATTATAAAACCCAAGTAACAGAGGTGGCAAGTCACCATCTTGAGGAAATTCTCAAGTCAATGCAAACCTGATGCAATGAAAAATGCAAAGAGAATTACTTTTTAGGGTGGTTTTTTTCCCCATGTCACTGAAAGTTGGGAGAGGAGTCTGCCTGATCACAATATTTATGCCTTTGGTCACAAGCTACTGGAGTTCATTGGTGGATACCTTGTCCATTAGACCATCTACATCAGCAGGTAACTTGACACAACCTTTGACAATGAGGCCTGGGTGCAGATAACATGTACTTCACATTTGGGTTTGATGTTGTGCTTGCCTCAGAGGCAAGATCAAGGGAATGAGCCAAGGAGCCATGGGCAAACCTCCTGCAAGATTATCTGTTTCCTGCCCAGCCAGGTAAGAATGACTCCCTTCCCTAATAGATTTATGATATGATCAGTAGGTATTTCTCTTGCCTTGTGAACTATTTGTCTCAGAATTCAAGCTGAGAAATGGGTAATGGATGATCCAAAGTCTGATCAGCCACTTGAGCTAACACTGACAGTAACATAACCTTTACTAACAAGTGCTGGAAGAGTCTAAAGTCTAAGCTGCTTTGTGAAAGTCAAAGAGAAAAGTGTGTGACACCAGGACTTGGCCATCTGAAATACCTACATACAGCACATCGAACACGTCAATGCAAAGAGGGGTCCACTGGCACATCTAATGTGGCTTCCAGTGCACCAAATCCAGCTGGTTATATTTTCTATCATCTACAACAAAATATGTGAATTACATATCAAATCACCTATTTTCTTTATATGTAAAAAGGAAAACACAATAAGTAAATGATCACATCAAAATAGGTACAACTCCCTCAAGAACAAGAATAAATCAAGCTCAAATAAGCTAATTGTGGTTTTAAGGTATCTTGTATCTTACATGAAGCTTCATGAAGATCTCCATGTCACCATCTATGGGGACACAGAATTTGAGGGCCTATTGGTCTTCTGCCAGCACTGCCAGCTCCCTCCAAGAATGAACCTCATGCTGTCACAGATCTGCTCAACCACTACCTTCATAATTTTTATATTGGTTAAATTGAAGAGAAAACTACAAACTGGAGCTTCCTTGTTACCAGGACAAATTCTGGCCCAAGCGCAATGTTTCCAGGAAAGTACATCCTATGAACTTCCTTGTTTTCCAGATTTTAACATTACAATAATTTCTCCCTTCAAAGGTAGGAGTGGACAAACTAAGGAGAACAGAAGTAAACTGAGAATAACAATCGTTTGGCAGTTTTGACTGCAATAGTGTCTTCATCTGCTGATATTTCTGGGAATAAGGTTGCAGTGCCAGCAGGAAAATGTCTCTGGTTATTTAAACAAGTTTCTGGGAAAAGTATAAAAAATACTGGCCCCAACAGGTGACGAGTTCCCTTCACTTGGAAGGTCCTCTGCTACGCCAGTAAAAAACACATATTTGAATGCATTGAAGCCTCTGAAATCTGTTTACTTCATAAAAACTAACAAAAAAAGACACACTCAGAAGCAGGTGATTCATTTTCTGGATGAGAAGAAACACTTTAGTTTATGCCAAAATAACTCTCACCTCACAAACTCAGTCAGTGACTCACAGCATACAGACATGTCCTAAGTGGAGTCACAGACTCAGCTCATTCCAGCTTTAGCCTGTTCTTCTGGAATCCTCAAAACGCTCTTATATACAGCTACTGCCTAAATTAATATCTGAATCCCGATCCCAGCACTCTGTGCCCATAGGACTGAGATTTCTGTTCTTCCACATGCCACGATGTTTTCAAGGAAAGTTTCCATGCAAAACTATAACTCCTAAAAGCTTAGGAGACAGATGATTGCTTTTGCCTAGATTCCATAGTGGATCAAATCCCAAGGAGAAAGCATGTGCTTGGATAAGAAAGCTCATGCTGTTCTGTTACCAGAACAGTCTGCACAGTCATGACACAAAGCATAAGGTACATGGCCATTAGGAAGATTCTAATTCCTGACCTCTGCACTATGTCTCTTATTCCCTTCAGACTCCAACTTTCTTTCATCCTTGCACATCTTTCCTGTAAGTAAACCTCATCCTTTCTCTTTGCCCTGGAAAAATATCAATAATTTCTTTCAAAATATTAGCTAGGACATATTAAAAAAAAAACAACAAGAAACCAACAAACCAAAACTCAAAAAAACCATGCAAGAGAATTAGGAGGGTACAATAAAAAAATCTAAACAGAAAAAGAAAAATTACATAATACTACTCCTTGGCATGTTTTACATTGATGCATTAGTCATCAACACCTTTTGTCTAGACCAAGTCTAGCAGAATCTAAACACTGTAAATGTCTCTCTACAGTTTTTTAACCATTCTGAAGTACATCAAGCCTTAAATCAGTTTAAAAATATTTACAGTTTTAAATGCTTCAAATTTCTAACAACCACATGAGGAAAGCCCTTAACCACACACTCAGCTTCTAGCATGTAATGGAGTCTTACTAACTTCCAGTACCCTCTTGAGACACTCAAGTGATGTAATACCACGTCCAGGTTTAATTCTTGGTTTTATTCTCTTTGCTCAGATTTCTTGTATAATTTTATTTCAAAACTAATTAGACAATCTCAAAAAAAAAAAATTATCTTTTCAGAAATAAATTTTGCTCAAGATACTACTAATTATAGGCATGCCTGTTAATAGTTTAACTCAAAAGATGTTCTTCTATCCCTCTGGTTTTACAGGCATCTGTGGCTGAAAAGACCAGACATCAATTATTAAAAAGGTGACTCAATTGAGTCAGATACATTTTGTCCTGTTCATAAAGGCTGTGATTCCATGCTGTAACTAATCATACACATGCAATGAATCACTGGCATGATTCCTATAAATTTTACCCACAAGCTGTATTTTTGGATGTAAAGCAGAAAGAGTTGTTATATTTTGAAGTTGAATTTCCTTTTCCACTGGGAACACCAAGAAATCTGATGTTTTTTTAATGGTCTACCACGACTTTGTGTGGAGCA